GATGATCTTGACTTTGGCAGTTTGAAGTTTTCAGTTTTGAGTAGGAGATGCGCCGAATTGCAATGAATATAATTAACCAGTTGCGAAGCTGTCAGGAGATCTGAAAAGCTGGTCAACTTACTTTGACACCATCGAAAATGCTGATCATGATGCCATGTACCCAGCTAAAGGGCGCTATAAGTTTTAAGGTCATAAAATTTGATTTATTGGTATCTTTTTCATAATATCTTACTCAATCGAAGTCTTAGTTTCAAGAGATGTCAATTTATAGGGAAAACGTATTTATCATTGGGATATGTTATTTCTTTACATTTCTTTTTTATATATCTAAATTATTGAAACATTAGCGCCTCTTCTCACATTTCAAATAATAATGATTTTTATTTTGGACTTCCAATTTGAATGTCCTAATTAAACTTCTCAAATTAAGTTAATCCTACTATATTAAGAACATTAACTTTTCCATTTTCTACTAATAACTAAGAATAACTTTCGATTTGTTAAAAAAAAATCTTTTTTTGCCTGACCTATCCCACTCCTATAACAGTTAAACCGAGACAATCGGTGCAATAAATCAGCAATAAAAAATATCATTAGCTTAATTGGTTATAAGCAGACAGTCCAAAAGATCCCCCAGTATCCAATGACGCACGTCTGGGGTAATATCATAATTAATAAACAATGAACTGAAAACGGTAAATAAAGAGAATAATAAATCGTTTGGAACCGCCGGTCCTAAAGCAGAACAAAGACAAACAGCGCAGGGCGATGGTATCGTCCATCGGAGAACCGTGAAAAGCCATTACCATTAAGTTAAAAATACCAAGGCATGCTACTGAGTAAATCTTTGCATATAGTATAGTCTATATAGGCAAAGCCGTATTTGTTGCGGCTCTATGGGAAAATAGACCATCACCAGTTGGGAGGGTCTTGCACCCGTTTAAATTAGTAGTGGATAAAATTACTTTACGTTTCCCTCGAATACGTTCCATCAATCGTTTCAGGACTCGTACTCCTGGTGTTTGATTCAATCGGGAATTTAGCCTATTGGCAAATCCCTGAAAGATATCTGTGATTTCTCTTTCGAATACTTGTAAAAATGCCTGTAAATTTATTATAAAATTTGTAATTTCTTGGAAGGTATGTTGATATTTAGATTTATATGTTTGATATTTTTAAATGTATACCTACATTCATGTGCATATTGAGCGCCACAATACGATCGTCTTGGGTGTACGGAGCGGAGGCATCGGCATCGAAATCAAAGTGCACATTTTGCACATAGGAGATTTTCGAACCATCCCTCGAAAAATGCTTCACTTTCTTCTGACGGAACTGCCTGGAGATATGAAAACTATATAAACAAAATTCTTTTAAAATTATTTGGATTAACCCACTTGTATACATAGGGTCCTATTTCCTCGACTATGGGTATGGCACCTTGTTGAATCCTATCCGGATTGGTCACGTTAAATATGTAGACTTTGAAGTTCAATGGCTGAGGCAGATTCACAAAACGTTTATATTGTTCGGAGCCATCTGCTATAACGACGCTCTGAAAGAGATAATAAATAGTCAACAAAATTAATAAATTTATTATTCATAAATATGTGAATATTTGAAAACAAGAATAAAATGACTGCTGATTAGTATTTTAAATATGACTTTAAGCTTTGAAAATACATTTTGTATACTTATAAAATTAGTTTAAATTTTAACTACTCTTAACTACCTTTAATTTCCACCGCCCTATGCTTAATAATATCAAAATTTATCACAGCACAACCTAAGGTTTTTTATCACGCGACTAAGTCGTTTATTTATGACTTAATGACGACGTAGTGGCAATAAAAAACCAATCAAAATATCGTCATCGATATCAGCTGGACTGAATTCAAACCTGTTTTCGCCTTAAGAAAATATTTTTCTCCACAATGCAATTTCTATTGTTATTTTTTATCATGCTAATTATAATTGATAATTATCAACAGATTGAGGAGATCATTGACCAGGAGAATTATTCGCTTTGATTTCGAATTTTATCAAAACAATACAATTAATTAAGGTGCGTCTCTGTGCTTGCCCGAAAAATAATATTCCCAGGCTAAATAACCTTTGCTGTTAACCTTCCATTTTAATTTTTACAACCCAGTAGCCAGAAAAATATTTACAATTCAAAGAAAAAAAAATTTGGCAAAACATAAAAAGGCCCACCAGAAAACATAAATAAAAGTGAAAAACAAGTTCAAAACATGACAAGCAATATAATTTTACGGTCTGCCCCTCGCACTTGATACAATTGAAGAATTGTCAAAAAAGCTAAACCGAAATCTGGGTATAAATTTATATGACTAAGGCAGATCTCAAGGTCATGGCACACTCGGCTCGGCTCAGTTCAGCATATCGAAGAGCATACAAAACGTTTGATTAACCTCAAGAGCCAAAGAGAGGCTCCGGCGACGGCTGACAATGGCCCAAAATTCATTCAGAAAAAACTACAAATAATTGTTGCGAAATAGAGCGGTTTTGGCAAAGTGACAGGCCGAAGCGAAACGTGTTTACAATTTTAATTTCGATTTAGATTAAATTTGGGACAAGAATGTGCTGGGTCAAAGTGGCGTATGCGTAACTTTCTGGAGGTCCCAAAATGGAAAAGGGTTTTGATAAAAATATTCAAAAAGAAGACAGGTAAAATATAAATATTCATTAATGGCTTTTAGTCTCTTTGTAAAAATAGTATTAATCGAAAATGATTTTTTTCTCCAATTAAAATCCTTAAAAGAAGGTATTACTTACAAATTAAATCCGTACCAATTTTAAAACCCAACTAATGTCGTCCAAAAACCATATTAATAATGCATTAATACCTTACATAAATTATAGTAGGTCAAATATGGATCAGAATAAAGGAAAGAAATTGTGAATGTCTGACATAAAAGTCTGCGGGGAGCTGCTATTGTTCGGCATTGCTTTCGGGCCAAATTGCACAACAATATTTGTGTTGACCATCGAACAGACTTCAATTGCTTTGAATTTCAATTTCGATTCATGACTCGTTTGTTTTTGTCCGTCTTAGTCGTTTTTGTGTCTTTGGCGCCTGCATTTGAATTCCAAATAGAAATGGTTAATGTGCAAGGGACGGACCACCTTCAAGTTGAAGGCCCTCCGATTTGGAGGGTATTTCGGCCATTCTAGATCGGATCTCCAACGCGTACACACGGAAGTTCATTGCTAACGATGGCTCGTAAAAAGAGTTTTTGCGGCCCAACAACGTTATGGGTGGCAAGCCAAGTTCCAGGGGCAGAGCCACAAAAAAAGGCAATTAACTTGGCTTGGCTACAACAATTAAAAAAGAGCAAACACAGCCGCAACAACAACAAGGCGGCGACTAAAGAGATAAAACTTTGTGTTTGCATTCTAATTACAATGAAAAAGCAAAGCTCAGCTCAAAGTCAGCCCAAGTACTTCTAGTTGCCTTGACAATGAGCGCCGAAGATAAGAAACTAACTTGGTAAATATTATTATGAATAAGAATCAAGGCTCAATGAGGTGTATTTTAATTAATAAATTGAAATAATAAAGGACACAGAGGTTACATTTAGGGATAAAATGTTGCTACAAATGCCCATTTGAGATCAAAGCAAAAGAAGGTAAAAAAGAATTTTTAAAAATGATATTTTAAAGCAAAAACTTATCAGAAGAAGGGATTTAATAAATAAGATAATAATAATAGTAGTAATAAGAAAAATTGAGTATCTCAGCACGAGAACTTATGATCTTTCCCTAGTACTCTTATTTAACCCGTGACAAACCATTGTTGTTGAACATCCCCAATGACACGTATTTTAACTTGGTCATAAATAAAATGCGTTGAAGGACAAGAACATGCATCGTAATTGAAGTGTTTGTTTTTGGCTCTAATGGCTTGGAAAACACAATAATAATAAAGTGCATTTGACTAACAAATTAACTTGCATTGCTCGTGGCATTTCAATTGCATTTGGCATTCGGTTAGAGCGTGACCCAAGGGATCGGTTCTGTGGTTCTGAGCGAGTATGTAATTATTTCGTGTCATATTCGGTTGTTTTGGAGGGAAATGCGATTCTACTGCACTTGTTGGCCCAGCAATTAGACTTGTTACGGAGCGTGGAAAGCGATGGTATGGGAACTGACAGCCGGTCGGTTATTTGGCTAGCGATGTCATTACGGATAAAGTGTATAATGTCGGTGTTTCGTGCCGTTACCTATGTCCCAACTTTATAGATCAGTGGCGTCCGATTTGGTATCCCTTGCATAGCGAATGTCAAATGTCCATTAGATGGTCAGGCACTCAATGAAAATGTAATATAATTAAGGAAATTATAAATGAAATTATTTCTAGTTCTATTGAAGCGCTTTAAGACTAATAAACTGGAAAACTGTGAAAACGGGTTTTATATTCTAGTCGTACATAAAATAATTAAATCTACCCACATCATTAATTAAATCTTATTCATCACTTGGAACTTTGACCTTTCTTTGAGTCATAGCTAGTCTAACAAACTATAATTCCTTGTAAGCGCTACACAGCTTTCGTTCGCCACTTGGCAGCCAACTGAAGTCAACAATAGAATCATTATTTCGCCTTTGTTTGGACAGTGAGAGAAAATATCTGTGCGAACTTTGAAATCTAAATATTTGGCTTAGAAACTTTGTTAGGTTCCTAATGAAAGGCTGGGCTTGTTAGCTCGAAGTGAGTAATGAAAGATACTTTGAAGAATTTGTGAAAAAATTCTGTGATAATTTTTAAAATAAAATCAAATATTGTTTCCGAAAAATCTACCTAAGGAAAAGAAAAAAAAAAAAACACCTTTTTTTTTTTTTCCCAAAAAAAAAAAAAAAAAAAAAATTAAAATATTTTTTTTTTTTTTAAAAAAATCCTTTTCTTTTTTTTTTTTTATGAAAAACGAACGCCGCGGGGTCAAATCTTGACCTATATGGTAAGAGTTAACGCGTCACAGAGAAGTTTATTAAATTTGTCAATAAACATGTTATTCAACCTTTATAAATATTTCCCACAAAAATTCATCTCGTAAAAAATTGGTCCAAATTTCTGTTGTATCCAAGAAAAGAACAAGTATTTTTATAAAATATTATTTCAAATTTAATATTATCAATAAATAAATTATATACAAAAAAAAAAAAAAAAAAAAATATAAAAAAAATAAAAAAAAAAAAAAAAAAAAAAAAAAATAATTTTAAAAAAACTAAAAAAAAAAAAAAAAAAAATAAAAAAAAAAATTTTTTTTTTTTTTTTTTTTTTTTTTTTTTTTTTTTTTTTTTTTATAATAAAAATTTTTTTTTTTAAAAATTTCTTTTTTTTTTTAAAAAATATTAAATTTTTTTTTTTTTTTTTTTAAAAAAATTTTTTTTAAAAAAAAAAAAAGGGGTTTTCCTTTTTTTTTCCCCTTTTTGTTTTTTTTTTTAAATTTTTTAAAGGGTTTTTTCTGGGTGTACCAACAAAAGTACATATAAAGTTTAATAAAAATTTTGCGTGGACCTGTTCGGCTAGTTTTTATTTTGTAGGCATAGTAAAGCTCATCTTTCCTTCGAAGATTTAAACCCAAGGCCGCGTGTATTTCGTGTTTTCTTATTAAAATTCTTTTGGTTTTTCTGTAATTCTTCACTTTCGGGGGGACTCACCTGTTCGACCTTTTTGTGTACCATGTTGGGAAAGAAAACCCAGCCGCAGTAGCCGCCCAAGGCGGCCACGCAGACGCCCAGGGCACTAACTATCAGGGACCAGTGGAGCATTTTCTTGGAGACGATCGGATGGCTTGGAGTCTACGGAGATGGGGCGAGACCCATTTATCGCGGGCACGCTCTCTTCTGTCGATCAAAACGCCGGCAACAGGTATGGAATATTTTTCTTGTTTTTTGTTTTTTTTTATTTCGATCGAGCGGAGCTTTGGCCTGACCTACGTCAAGTGAGAGCCACTGTTGTTGGGGTGTCGATCTTGTTGTTGTGTGCCGAAACAAAGCGCACTATTTATAAGATACCCGTTTTGGGGCTTTTTTTTGGTGTTTGTTATATATAATTTTGAAATAAACAAGTTGCCGAATGCGATGCGATGCGGCCGCTTGGCTGGTGGATTTTACTATATCTTATTATGTCCCTTATAGTAAGAGCAACAACTGTATTCGTATACGTATGTATATCTGCTGGTTTTTTAGTACGAAAACGGGTTTGAGTGTTGTGTTGCAGTGAAAGCTTTTTTCCGCCATCAGCTGGTATAATTAAAATATTTTTGTTAATTATATTTGCGTTTTTGCTTAATTGGGTCGAGTCACAACTTCACACGCGCCAAAGGAATAGCTTTTTTCTGGTCTTCCCCATCGAGGAATCGCCGGCCAAATGACAACCGTGGTTAATGGTGGCACATATTTATTTGATTCTCGGTTAACGTAACTTGCCAAGCGAACTTGGCCGGAAAATGGTGGGCGGCTTTCGGTTGCGATTAAGATCGGGTGCACATTCAAATTAATGGCCGCACGCGAAGGGAAAATGGGGAAAACTTCCGCCGCAAAGTGAAATGAATCAGCAGAATAGCACAACGATTTCCAGCGTACTTTTGTAATTAAGTGTCGGCCCTACTAAGAGCGATTTTATTGAGATTTTCTCGGTAGTGTATTATTGAGTTTTAGTTTTATAAACCGGAGATCCAACCGCTCGGAACAACCGCTGACGACTGGCTGTGTTCAGGCCAAGCTGCGATGACAATGCTGTGACTTATGGCTTTCGGCAGTCAGTAGTTGGTTGTAGGTCTTTTGGCCAAAAGCCCTAAGTCAGCCGATCGCAGAGAGACCGAAATTAAAGAGCGCATGCGCAACGCTCCTCGAAACTTTTGTCGAGGGCTTTTCATTAAGTTTTCGGGCTGTTGATGAGCAACACTTTTGCAGTTAGTTGCTCGACTTTTTTCTTTGCTTTTGTAATATTTCTTTACATTTATATTTCACTTAAATTTATGGATGAGCCGCTCATTAGCAAATTAGTGCAAGTTTTTGCCTTGCCACTTTTTAGCCATATTTGTTTTCGCCAAATTGGAAATTCCCCTGGATTCAGGTATCTCGGGGGCGGACCTTGGAAAATATTAGAATATATTGCCCCATTTAATCTGGCATCAAAAAGTTCTAATGATGCACTCTGTTTAATTGAAGTGATTCGGTTATAGATTTAGATTGAGGCTATTAATCAGCCACCTTTGATTAATATGGGTAGATTTCATAAGGGCAATGGGGAAATTTTTTAGAAAAATTCTTTTTGATATATTAAGAAGATATGAAGCGATTCATCATGACTAGCACAGAAATAAAAGACATCCTATTTATATTCTTGGAAAGAAATAACTCGAGTCTTCTAGAAAATAACTTGAATATATTTATATACAATTTAAATGTATTATTTAATATATTTCCCTTCAAACGCTTGAAATCTCTTTCCATCTTATTTATACTCTTTTCATCGGCTCTTCACTTTCGGAACCTCTCTTTTGCCCTTCTCTTTTGAAGTTGGCGTGGGTGCAAGACCCCTCCCTCTGGGATCCAATATCTTTTTGGACAAACGCATTAACAGGTTTTCGGTTTGGTTGTGCGTGCCGTGAAATTTATATGTAAAAACTTGTAAGACAACAACAAAGACAAAAACAACAGCGATTGGATTCGACTGCGGGTGAAGCTTTTGTTGAACTTGACACGATTGTTGCCCATTCAGTTTTCGATGTGGTTTTTGTTATTGCCACTAATTTTTGTTGCTGTTGTTCTTCGCATAAATTTTTGAATGTTGTGCAAAAATGTAAAGCTTTAAATATTAAACAAATGCCAAAATATAAACAATTTTTGCATCTATTAAAGAGTGTTAGAAAAAGTATAGTCGTGGCCACAATTAAATGGTATAAGCTACTGAATAATATCCAAAATATAATATTGTTGTTTACTGCTTAGGTCTAAATAAACCTCTTTAAAAGCATTATATCGGAATCAATCTTCCTTTTAAATCCCCCATAAGTTATGGCCTTTAGCACTCTACTGACCTAAAACGATTCCCTTGCCAATTCCTCAACATTTTATGTGACTCCGACACTCGACACTCATTTCAATTTCTTTGCTACATTTCTTTTAATTATTTTGTAGTGCGATCCACATTTAGCCTAGATTTTCGAGAAGTCCCCCCATCCACGAGGAGAAACCCCTTGTGGATTCGTTCTCCATTTGCGTGCAGCATGTGGATATAGTAATTTAAATATTTATTGCATTTTTTTATGCAGGCAACACTTGAGGCACAAACAACCTCTCCGGCCCAAAACTCTTTGCCTTTGTCTGACCTCAAAATTAAATTCAAATCTCGGGCAAATGGCAAGACTTGGCAGAAGGCAGTTTTACGTTCTTTTTTCTCTTTTTTGCGTATTTTTCTTGTTTATTTTCTCATTGGCAAATTGATTGCACTAGTGTGTGAGTACATTTTGTACGAAATAATGGGAAGGATACCTACTTATACCAAAAAATAGGACTTAAAAATAATTGTTTAACTTTTTAAGATCGTTCAAAAAATGATCAAATAATTATTATTTATTTAAAAAAAAAAAGTAGTTATTGTAACTGTATTTATTGCTTAAGTACACAGTATTAAATTAAATGACAAAGAAAGTCTAGTATTTTTTGTACCTAGCTAATCATTTTTAGGCTGTATCACTTATTTATTTAGTTGGGTACAACTGCCCAGGCAATTGCCATCACTGGCTATCCGTGCATGTGTTCAATGGAGTGATATGAAAAACTTCACACGACAATGTAAGGCAAAAAGGAACAATCAGCGAACACGAACTGGATTTACCCACACCCATCTCCTCCTCCATTTCCGGCTGAGGATATTCCTTTGCATCGATGGCGTGCCTAGGCAATCGCAATTTATAGATAATTTGATACGAGACGTCAGACAGTCGTTCAGTCGGAAGAGTTGGATTGAAAGTGGCACAAGGACAAGCCGGGTGGCGGGGTGTTTGGGTTTCGGGTGGCTCTCGGAATGCATTTCTAACGAATTTTCATTAGCCACCAAATTGCAAATGAATATTTGAATGCTCCGATGGGTGGCTTACTGGGGCGAATGCGTAATTCGTTCTCACGTTCCACATACGCCCCGTGTGCACTGGAATGCACAAGAACAAAGGGGGCTGGCTTAACTGCAGCGGCGGAAAGTACGAAAAAATGCAATTAAATGGATTAAGCGAGGAAAAGGGCTACAGTCAAATGAGGCCAACGTGAAGAAGGTTCTGCTGATTCTCTTGCCCCCTCCTCCCCTTTCCCCGCCCTCCCCTCGTTTTTCTCTCGTCAGTGTTTGTTTGGCCAACAACAAACCAAAGGCAGTCACAACAGTCGAGGAACTGAACGAGAAGGAAAGAAAGGGGTGCAGGGCACACAAGGATTCAGCCACTCGACCGCTTATCGTCAACTGTCATCGTCTGCCAGTCTCTGAACCCCAGTGCACTGAGAGAAAATTTCCAAAGCTAAGTTAAGTACAAGTGTACTTAAAGGAATTAAGTTTAAAAGTTATTAAAAAACAAATGTTTTAATAAAAGAATATATTTGAAACACTAGAATATGTTAGGCGTAATCATTATTTATATAATCATAAGCATGACGTAAAAAACTAAATTTCCCACCAAACTTTAATTTTTATAATTTTTAAAGTAATATTCGGTTTGTTTAAAAATTCAATTTATTTAAAAAAAAAAATTTAATATTTAAATTTTTTATTATCTATCTCCCTCCTCTTTTTCCTCCGTGTACTGCCTCTCCAAGGTGCACGGACATCACTCTGCATTGTTGCAAATGTGAGCGACCGATTGATGAGCATGTGACGTTCCGTCCTGGCCCTTGGACTGTCTGTCTATATGTCTATCTGTCTCTCTGGCTATATGTCCGCCCGACTTTCCGTCCGCTTTCCGGCCTGAAAGTGTGTCAAATAAAGTGCTAAAAGATTTATGCCCTGCACCTCCTTTTCCAGCTGGGCCTCTCGTTCGTTCTCTCGCTGTCTATTGCTCTCAATAAGTGGCACAAAGGACGAACGACAGGCGCTCACCGCAGGCTTAAGTGTCTCTAACTGCCAGACAGGACACCCAACTGGATATCTGCCCTTACATATACCCACCTTCCTATATATACCATTTGTGTGTGTGCCCTGGTGCAGTTTTTCACTGGGCTGCTGCTGATGTCCTTTCGGCCCAGACCAATTTAGAGCTCCAACATCCTGTTTTCCATTTCATCTCCCGATTTCTTTCGGTTGACTGTGCTCATGAATAGAGTAGGGCTTTGTATGAAGTCATATGTAGTCTGGATAATCCAGTCTATTACTGAACCTGAGGTCTAGTAATAAAAAGGTAAATTGAGTTGGGAAACGATTAGCAGAGTTTAGGCTTCCTTATTAGGATATGAGTTATTTTAGGGGTTTTAATAAAACCAAAATAGAAATATTCTTATTATAAAAATAATATTTGAAATATTTTTCGGACATGTAAGAATTTACCTGGAAGCTCCGAGAAATTTCTAGTCCATCAGATTAACGCCTAGTCGGATCCATTATCGCCACCACTAAGTGAGAATTTAACGAGCAAAAATTGAATTGATTTAGCTGGCAATTTCCAAACACGCAGCCTTCGCAGCTCACAGTTGTGCCAACAAATGAATTATTGCGCACTAAGATTTCGCCACCCCCTCCTCCTCCCCCTGTCACACAGATACACACACACTTAGACACCCACAAAGGGCTGCAGGGCCGCAGGACATCCCCCCTCCACCCGCTTTTCGTTGTCCTTCGCTCTGCAATCCAGGGACGCGCTTGAAAAAGCATGGAAAACGTGAAAAACGTGAAATCCAAAACGCTGCAGAGACGCTGGAGGCCAAACCTCCAACTAATGACAATAAGGCGCGAACTGGGAAAATCCCCAAGCCAACCCAACCAGCCACCCACCGAATATCACGCATACGGCGCCTTGCCTCGGGCCCCTAACAAAAATATCACGCATACGCCGCGTTGCAGCAGCGAAATCAAAACATAAACCCAAATCCAGTGACTGCATCGGGTTTTCCTCAGCGCGTGACCAAAACAGAGAGAGAGAGAGAGCGAGAGGCGGCGAGGGAGAGCGCAGAGAGAAAGGCTTTCTCTCACTCACGAAGGAGTTTCCCCATCATCATCATCATCATGACGATGAACATAAATGCGACGTCGTGTGCTAGTTGGAAATTGCATTTTCCTTCAGTTCTGTTTCAGTTTCGAGTCCGTGCAGTCGTGTTGGCCGGAGTGAAAGCGCCGAGGAAAATTTGCAAAATAAAAAAAAAGCAAACACACAACAGAGGAAGTAGAAATAGAAATAGAGAAAAGTAAATAAGCAAACAAGTGCAGTTTCGTTGGGAGAGTGTGCACGGGAAAGGGAGATTAATCCCTCGGACCTAGCATATAGATACAGATACCTACACTTTTGGTGGTCCCCAAAAGAAAAACACGGAGTGCTGAAAAAGCAGAGCAGCCCCGAAGTACTCGTATCCGCAACCATGTCGACGCTACCCTTTCTGCTGAGCGTCGCCGACGAGCTGGACAACATACACTCGCAGTCCTACATGGACGACTTTGGCCTGGGCTTCCATCCGCACCGCCAGTACTACCGCACGCCCACCATCCAGCTGTCCCTGCCCGCCAGCACCGACTGGACGGGATCGGGATCGGGTCGCGACTGGTCCCAGGCGGCGGGCAACAGGCACAATCGCTACCGCAGCTACAAATTCTACGACGACTCGCAGAACAACCTGGAGGAGGAGGAGCCGCCGGTGGAGGAGCCCATGCCGATGCCGCTGCCCCTGGAGCAGGTGGAGCTGCCCCAGCAGCAGCAGCAGGATAACCAAACCCAGCAGCCATCAAGTGTAACTGCAACTGCCACGGCTGCGAATACAGCCCCTGCCCGCAAGGGACTGGGCATGGTCAACTCCCACTCCCATGACGTGGGGGTGGGCGGTTTGGGGCTAAATCTGAAGGCTGGCGAGGAGGAGGACGACGAGAACATCGATCGGACAGTGCGTATGTACAATCTGTCAAAGAAGTGCTGCAAGAACTACTATCGCCATGCTTTGGAGACCGGACCCGGGGCCAGTGGCAAGGTGAAGTGCAGCAACTTGCGCTCCGAGAGCCACAAGAGCAGCTCCAGCTCGGAGGAGAGCCTCCAGAAGATACCTTCGCCCATTGAGTTCCTCACCTGCTTCCTGGTGAAGAAGTCGCGCACCCCCAAGGCCACTGGGCCCGTGGGACAGCCGCTGAAGAAGACATAGAACTCGGCCCGGCTGCTGCCAGCAGCGCTGTCCGCCAGGACCTCCATCATCAGCTCCACGGCCACCAGTGGAGCCGTGACCAATGCGACCTCGGACACGGACACGACCACGTCAAAGCGAAGGAGCAACTGCTTCTGAATGTTGGCCGGAGTCGGAGTCGCTTGTGGCCAGGCCTGGAGTTGGCTCCAGAGGTGCGGGGAGCTGCCCAGCTCGGAGCCCGCCTCGCTGCCGGCGACGCGCCTGGGCAGGATCGCCTACTAGGCCCACTCGTCCGACTCCGATTCGCAGTCAGAGGTAGATATTTGATGGTATATGATTTAGCACTGGGGTAACCTCTGGCTTGAATATTGAAATTAAAGGAATTTATCGAAAGAGATTATGAAAGGTTAGCGACTTCGATTTGCACTGGAAGTTAACGTTGGCTTGGTATAAAAAAGTAGTTAGACGGAGCGTTTAAAGAATTTTCAAATCAAAGAAAAATCAAATTAATTAATATTAATTCTCTTTAATTTGAATTAATTTTGAATTTAAAAATGTGGAAGATTTTAGGAACTTTTTCCTTCTGGCAATATGAGCTAAATATTTTATTCGGCCTCAAAATTGCATTTAAACGGAGGTCGTAGGTAAACTACATAATTAATTTAGTATTCGTTTTTCTGTGGTAATTAATTGTTTATATTTTTCTTCCAAGAATTAATTCAGTTATCGAATTGGCGAGTTTTCTGTGAATTTAATATGATTCAATTTAAAAACCCTGTGCCAGCGATTTCTCAGTGCAAACATTCCCCAACCACAATTTGCAAGCAAATACAGGCCAAAGCAAATCGAAGCTTAAAACAAACAAAAATGAATATTATCAAGAATTGTACTTACAAGTATGTGAATTCAAAATATAGAACATAAATAAAGAATAACTATTCAACCAACACCGAAGAAAACTTTTGCAAACCAAATACACACAATTTTTAAAGCCAGATTTATACCAAAATAAGAAGATACCAAGAATTTGTTAAGCAAACGTTTTTTATACAATTTTTTGATACCAAGCAAAAGATATAACTTATATATGGATATTATATTAATACTGGGAAGTTTAATTGAATCAAGGAAAGGAAATTCGAGCTGAACCATAACCCTTGGGCCATACCTTTGATTTCGTTATTTTTAACCAAAGAGGTATAATACTTTCAGGGAAACTTTTATAAAAACCTATGGCCATTTTACTTATTCAGATCCCAATGCCATTATTCTATTTTTTGATCGACCTAAAGGTAGTGGTTGAGCTTGGAATTCCTCACAATTTTATAAAAGCTGTTAGCTGTTTTAAGCCAAATAAATTGCGGGCTAATTCAATAGGTCTTCTGACACACACACAAGAACAAAATACACCAATAGCAATGTTTCATTTTCACACAAACACAGGAAAGTTTTATATTTTTCCTTTTTTTCCAGCTAACTGAAAAATGTTGGCGAAAAAAGGAAATTTTTAGTAAAGCTGGGGGAACTTTTGCACAATGTGGGCAAGTGTTTGGGCTAAAAGGGTGGGTGGGTTGTGGGGCCTATGAAAAGTGAAACATGTTTTCAATTTCCTTTTTTCGGGGGACTGTAAACAAGTCAATAGCAAACTACGGCTAAGGACAAACACACAGAAGACCTTGGTCCCAATTTCAAATTAGTAGAAAAGCAAAACAGAAAAAAGGGAAACGCAAAAAGATTTTGTAGCAGAATTGTAAACGGAAAACTTTGGCGGGGCTTGCGTCTAGTTAAATGCTGGAATACAGATACAACAGAATAAATATATATTTATAGTTTTGTAGTCAGATATTCTCTTGCGTGTTCTAAATGTATTCTAAATGTTGAAAAAGAAAATATTTCAAATGTATTTACAACTAATCAAGAAGAACATTTTATATATATGTATACGTATACTATATGTGTAGCCACACTGTTTGCACTTTTCAGAGTTTAGAAACAAAACATAAAAAAAAGATACGACAAGTATATCTATATATATCGCAAAACTCATAGCTTTAACGCAACAAAAATATAAATTCAAAACTCAGCATCATATCTTTCGGATAAATGTAATACCTAAGAGCAAACCCGATACCACAAATAAGTCACAAAGAAAATGTTAATAAAAATTACCTAGCTGTAGTTTGGACTAACGATTTTGCCAGTAGCTCTTGAAAAACTTTTATCTAGATGGAAAAGCATTTTAGCATTGGCCAACTCGGTCGTCACTCATCTAACCGATATAACCAAAGTAATTTAGACGTTCCTCAGAACTTGATCACTTGCATGGCAAAAAAAACCTCTCGAAACTACATACTTTATCAACGAAAAAAGAAGAAACACTCAACGCATATCATTCCAATACAATAGATTTCAGCTAAATCGTATTCAACTTGAGATTCAATAAATAAATATGGGAAAAGAAATATAAAATGGAGCAGGTGTTTTATTTATGCGGAAGTTGTGGCAAAACTTCTTAGGAAAAATAATGAATCAGTAAATAATTTCGTATTTAAAAGATGAAAATAAGTGATGAAAGGTTTTTTAGGTTTTTTAATATTAACTTAAATTTGTTTAAATATTTGCTAACGCATATATACATACATATTTCTTAATTAAGTAGGTTTACAGGTTTTATACTTTAACTTATATAATACACTTAACTGAACTTAATACACACATATTTTTTAATTCAGTAGGTTTTCTTTAGGTTTTATACTTTAACTTATAGTTTGTTTGTCTGTTAGTAATATAAACCTTTTTCATTTTCAGTACCAAGTGGATGATATAAATTAAGGGGCATTCTTACCAAATTTTACATAAATTAAGAAACCGTTTCTATTGCCAAAAGAACTCCTTTTTATTGTGGCCCTGACAGACGGACATGCAAGGTCATAATGCGTCCTTCACACAACACTTGTCACTTGCATTAATTTTGCTGTCTTGCCGCTTTTTCCGCCAACTGACACTCAGAACTGTCCGAAGGCATTTACAAATTTTCAAGTGCAAGTATGCGAGTTTTTGTATTGTAAACGCTGACCTTTGGTGACTCATGAGGACGAGAATGTGCTGGTGTAAAGTGTCCTTAGGCCGTGTGCATCTCGCCCAAGGATGTGTCGTCATAAAGTTCGTCTTGGAATTTTAAATTAACTGCAGTGGGCGAAAAAAATGGAGGTATATGCCAAATCACCATGTGCACTTTCCATTTCGGTGTTTGGCGTTGTTTAGCCATCACGTCTATTGGGTTCAATAGCACAAAACAAAAATAGAATAATAGGCCGGGGCAAGCGTTGTTTGTGCGCCTTCAGGCGTCCACCTCCTCAATCCTCAGACCTCCGGAGTCCTGCCCGACCCACTATAAATAAATCCCTCATTCGTATGCAAACAAGTGCAGCGACAGGACGAAGGGGCGAGCCCTCGCCTTCGGTGGGCGTGACTGGCGGCATAATGGGCGAGTTTGGAAATGTAGTTGCAGTTCTGGATTTTGTTGAAGGTTGCCTCTGGGCATGATAACTATCTGGAAGCATGTGGGGAAATTTTCAGCAGCGTATGAATATATACAGACATTTTTATTTACACAGCAGAAAAAAGTACCTATTTATACTAGTAAAAATATTTCTTTAAATTTTTAAAAATGTTTTGGGATTAATTGGAGAGATAAATGTGTTTTCTTTAACGTTTTTTTGGAATGTTGGATAACTTTTTAAGACCTATTAATTGTTAATAAATTTATAATAAGAAGGAGCCATCATTATTGCTATTTATAAACTGAATACCCATTTTTTATGAATTATTCACTTTGTTGATTTACGTTTCACATACCTCCAGGTGTTGTTTTTATGTAACATTTATTGATTTCCACTTCGTTGGTTAAATACATTGTGATATTTATTTATTTATGTATTTATCTATTTGACTGAACTTAATTGGTTATTCAGCTGATTTAAGGATATGTGACAGTGAAGTGGTGTTTAAACGAGAATCGCATTATTTATACTTACTTTCCTTTGAATATGGTCATGTGCATTTATGAAATAACAGTCCATAATAATATGTATGGTTTAGTTATATTAAATTGTATATTAATTTAGATATTACCTTTTTTCTAAGAGTATCTTACGATCGACTTTGATCCCCTTTCTGTCCCTTTCTTTTCGACTTTCTCTGGGAAAACTTTGCCAGTTGGTTGGTTCTGTTGTGGCAACTATTATTGTGGCTGCCTTTTGGGGACTCATTCTTTGGGTCTGGAACCTGCAACCTGCGCCCTGCAGTGTTCACTTCGCATGGCCAATTACGGTTTTAGGTCCTGCTGGCTCCTCGCCGTCCTGTCTTTTTCTTCGACTTGAACTTTTGCTTTCGTTTCGCCCGTGCTTTGTGTTTTTTTACTCCGAAATTTCCCTTTTTCCCTTGGCAGGCGTCGCATTGCAGTGGCCTCTTGGCCAGGTCGACTGCACCTGCTTGTTGCCCTTTTGCGGCTGAATGTTTAGTGTCTCGGTGGCCATTTATTGTTGCACTCGACTTCGCCGCCCGGCGACTTCACTTCATTTGCCACGTGAGCGGTGCACCTTATTGATTTCTTTGACTTAATTTGCTTGCCATTTTGCCGGCCATCGCTAACTACAGGTATTACGCATACGTCACGTTTGCCATGTCTCGCGCAAACTTTTAAAGCACACTTTTAGCCTGAATGCGGGAAATGGTTTTATTTTAGCTAGCTGAACACTTTGTTGATTTTTATGGGGTACGTGTTTGGGGAACCTTACCATATGACTTTGTTAGTTGTTCATAATGTTTGTACCAATATTTGTACTTTTGTTAAAAATATTAATTGCTAGTTGTTTGGAATTTAATTTTTTTAGTTTATCTCATTAATTATTTTCTCTTCGCCTATTTTAAAGCTGCAGAAACAGAGCATGTTCCATTATAAATCAAAATTTTAAACTACCGAATAATCCCATCATTATTTAAACTTAATGTATTCTTGAAAAAGCTATATTTTGCTTAAAAAATTTATTTTTTAAATCTTTCAAATATCATTTCTTGTTATGAAGGACACAAAATGTTCTAAAGCGTGTCTACTATCGAGAGTCATCTTTATTGTGAATCATTTGTTGGACTGAAGCCATTTCTATATTTTGTTCTTCGGATTATCTTTTTTTCTGGGAACTATATAGTTAATACAATTTAGGGGGTACCCCATAATTTCCATTGGGGAAATCGTTGGAAGTCTGCCAAATTAGTTTTGTTTAAAATATATCTCATGAGTTCACATTTAATATTTTATAAACTATTTTAGTTCGATTTTAAGATATATTCGGCTGTTTAAAGATATCTTCAGTTATTTTTCTTAAAATAAAATATGTGCTTTCTGTCAGAGTCAATCAAATGGGCTGGGACATTGCGCTGGTCCATTTTTATTTGTCCTAAATGACTAATGTTCTTCTCTGTGATCTTCTGATCCACAAACCAAACACATGTACGTGTGTCGCCATAAACTATAAAAAAAGGGGGTGGGTCAGCATTTGGGGACTGGAATGGGGTGGAGGTCGCGGTGGGTGTGTGCGCATTCCGCTATGCTAATGAGAAATACGATTATAGAAAGTCATCTCTTAGATAATGCCCAGCACACAAACGGTCCCAAAGAAAGTTGTGCACATCCCACACCCCTGGAAATTAATTCAGATTTTCATTTGATTTTGCCATAAAATCAAGCAAATTAGTAGATTGCTTTGTTTAGCTTTAATTGCAAATGTATTGTTGCTGCGGCAGCTGCGGCACTTCGATTGATTTTCAACCAAGAAATGCTCTCTAGTGTTACGCTAAGCAGAACAACTTATTTTTTATACACAGGAAACAATCTTTGAAATGGATTTATGGATTAAATGGATTTATTTTGATATAAAATGGTTTTATGAAATAAGTAAAAATACGTATTATTATATAGCAGTTATTTGTTTAAAAATGTGAATTCTGGGTTGTGAATTTAAAAATCTTTGAGTTGTTCTGTGTACAATTTTAATTGTAATTATTTTATATTTTAAATTTTTAAAAATATGTTCCGTTATGTTAAAATTATTATTATTTTTTTACCTTCGTTGATCCGCTTATAAATGTTACTGATACTTAATTTAACAATATTAAAAATCAAATATTAATTGGATCTAAATTGCTATAAAGCATTTAAAATCTATTAAAATGTTATTAAACCTATAATTTATGGAAATAAGCTTTCAATTAAACTACTTACTTGCCTGGTTCTATTAATGTGCCATCGACTGTTTTCCAGCCTGACTAAGCTTCATCACAAACCTATTGAACTCGGCCGGTTGCAAATGACTTTATGTACAAATACAAGCTTAAATGGCATCTAAATTGCTGCGAAGCTTGTTATAATTATTATAAAACACACGCAAAATCTATTGCTACACCAGCAATAACAACACTCAGCGGCTGGGACAACAAATTACAATTACAAACGGGGTGGGCCAACCCCACTCGAAATCGATGATTGTGCTTCGCTATGGGCACGGGCTTTATAAAGAGGGGTAGGCAGGTCAGGCCCATAAATGTTCCGTAGATGTCGCGACATTTCGCTGCATGTTCATATATGTTTTCGCTGCTTTTATCGACTAATCTGCTCTGCAAAATCGTCCAAAAACTCGCAAATTGCCCTTTTGTCATGACAAACTCAATCCCCCTTTTATGTATCCGTATCTATAGATTGTGTATCTGTAATCCGTGTATCTCTGATGATTTGTATCTTGTAGCGGCTCAAATTTAAAAAAATAACTCGGCACAAACACACAAATTAAAGCCATATTGGGTCAAAAAGTGAAAAGAATTATCCGATGTTCGTACTTCCGCCAAAGAAATGTCTATGCTTTTATTTGGGCTTGCTCGGTTTTTGTTGTTTTGAATCTTTTAATTTTCAAGCGGAAACGCAGGGTAATTAATTTCAAAATGCTGAAGCTACGCAAACTTTTTGGCATGCTCCCACCATTTTTAAGGCGTTGGCGATATGGGAGAATGGTTTGCTGGATGAAAGGGAAAAACATAAACAAATAAGGAAGGTGAAAATCCAAGAAGCTGAACGAAAGAAAAAACTAATGGTGAAGAGTGATTGAAATATTAGAAATATTCAGGTTCTGGAGAAAATTTCTCAACGTGAACATTAATAAAAAGCTGAATTTTTTTAAATATTACTTAAGAAATTGTTGAGATATAGGAAGGAAAACATAATTTCAATTTTACTTGCCTTGACTGGTACTATTACCTTTGGAGAACGGCCAGCGATACAAACACACTACGGAAATAAATCTGCGATGCAACCCACCCAACATAAGATCTCAAAGCGCCTTAAGGAAATGACATTCAGATCAAAGCATTTCCATTGACGGCAAAGACACATTTTCGACCCACAGCCCCCTTTCGTATTAAAAGCAGCGAAAACACAGCCAATGCGACAAGATAAACAATCGAAAACATCGCCCAGCTTCTAATGCAACTGAACTAACAATGCTGCACTGAGGGAAACAAAACAAAATCTGTAAAAATAAAAATAAACCTAAAAAATAAGAATTATCGCAGAGCATTAACCATTAGGATTATATTATTTTTAAAATTTAATACTTTTTTTTTTTTTTTTCCCTGATTTACCAATAAAGTAACTTTTTAACTGAATTCATTTTAATTCTTTTTCTAAAAATAGTTACTTACTTTACTAGTTTTTTACATACATTTTGTTAAATCAATACTTGTCAAGCTGATCCTTTTTTACCATTTTCCGAGTAGCCCAGATTTTCCCAAAGCCAGAACTATTTTTCTTTGCCGTGTGGCTTCTACGTCACAACTGTCATTGGCTCTAGACTAGAATCTCGTCGAGCTGAGCTGATTCCACTGGGCGAAGCTTATGGCTATAAAAGCGACGGCTACTGTCGATGGCAAGTTTAATTTGCTCAGAGCAGAAAACGCGAGTGGACGTGTATCAGAAAACGCGATAAGTGAGAGTTAACTACGATCTTCCGTTGCTGTTCGTCCTGTTACGAGGAATAAATAAAATCAATTGAAATGGCTCTGGTGCCGGCTACAAACAATACGGATTGGGATTACTGGGATTATCGTCGTCGGCTGTGGCGCGACTGGGACTTGAACGATTGGGATCTGCCCTACTGGAAGCGGTCTCTGTCTCGCGTCGGATCCGCACCCGATCTCAGTCGGGTTATTGTCGGAAAGGATGGATTCGAGGCCAATGTGGATGTGCACCTGTTCAAGCCATACGAGATTACGGTGAAGACCACGGGCGACACGGTGGTCGTGGAGGCCAAGCACGAGAAGCGACGGGATGGCGACACCTTCGTGGGTCGCCACATCGTCAAGCGGTTCGTCCTGCCCCGAGGATACTATCCCAACGACGTGCGATCGGAACTGTCCTCCGACGGCATACTCACCGTCAAGTGCCCGCCGTATTTGACCAACGAGCGAAGCGTGTACGTCCGCCAAGTGGGTCCTGCGTATCTGAGCATCAAAAACTAACCCCAGTCTATAGCTTCGTAATTTTGCGTTTTGTTCTTAGTTCTTTTCTGTTGGAGCAAAAATTGAGAGACAAAAGTAATGCACATAATTCTAAGACTAGAATTGGACTCTTTTTGTAATTAACAAGGCAACATTTGTTTAGTTAAATAAAATAAAAGTTTAATTTATTAATAATGAATTCAGCCTGTCTTATTTGGAAGTGGTTTCTTTTCTTTTCCCAAGAGCCAGCGGATGTGCTAAAGCTTAAACAATGCCCAGGAAAATGTCAACATAAATTGACTCAAGTCATACGAAAAAAAAAAAAAACAACCGACCAGACAAAAGTATCAGCTCATATATAGTATTTCTCTTCCGAGATTCTCCGTTCATTATAGCATATTGTACCCAGAAACCTATGTGTGGACACCACGCCCTCGAGGCATTTCCGCAATTTGCCAACTAAGGTTAAGTTAAAATGTAAATGGGCCAATAAGCAACAATCGCTTTGAGCATAAACCTACACGGAAAAGTGTCGCTCTAGAACCGCGTATAGGTCGCCAGAAAATAGAGCTGGGAAAATTAATCTAGAAATATATCAACTGACCATACAGAGTAAAGAGCGTAGAGTTTACTCTACTCGTACGCCCACAAGATAAGTTCAAAGCAGTGGAGGCGATTTGCTAGCGTTTTAAACCGCGCTTGTGATGTTTAGAGCGGTTTCACACGTGCCAACGATTGGCATGCGTTTAATATTATTATTATATTTTAAATTAAAATCTGCTCAGCTGTAAATTCATTGTTAATTCTATATACAATATGTCTACTATAGAATTGGGGAATTTTTTTTTACTTTTGCTAAATAAATGCTTATCTGAAATCATAAATTCAAAAAAAATCTGTGGCAGTATATATTAAGAGTATACAAAATTTTCTATATGTATATAGAAAAATAATAATAATAATACTACTCAATATATTAAAAGCAATTTAACTTTTGACAGCTGCTGTTAATAAAGTTCGAATTACTCGTAATCTGTAAACTTTCGTCATTAAGGTATATTTATAAGTGCTGTTTAATATTATATTATTCAGTAATATGTTAGTAAAATGTTTTTTTTTTTTAGGTTTTAATTAAGTCATTTTTAATAATTCATTCTGAAAGTTGCGTCTAGAGCAGCACGTATTTATGTGGCGCAAATGTATCATAACTTTTTATAGATTTTTTAATGGCAACCGAATTATGGAGAAAACCGAGGTTTAAGTTCTAAAGTCACTCGCGTCTTAGATGTTGAAGTGTTCAGATTCTCTGATTGTCTGTTTTTGTTTTTGAACCCATCTTAAAATTGAACTTTAAGTTTATTTTGCCGTTAAGGTAATTCAAAAATTGCGGTGAGTTGCATGAAAAAAAACTATTTTATAAATAAAATTAAAAATATAAAAAAAACACCTATTTATTTCGATTTGAAGGAATCCAATTTGGTTTACTAAGGAGATTATTTCCAAGGATAAGATCATTTCTTGAAACTTACTATACTATACTTACTTACTTACTTACTATATTTATATAAATAACTGAAATAATTAAAATTTTTTGCTACTGTTTCATTCCGGTCAAGTGGTTTAAAAAATTTGGTATTTTTGTGATTTGCGTCGTGTCAGATTAACGAGATTGTGCGATAATACATTCATATATTTCCAACGAAAAAATGTTTCAGAGGGGTATATTTGTTGCAAATTTTATTATGGATTTTTCCAAAAAGTTTTAAGACAGAATTTAAGAGAATTTAAGAGTGCTGATAAGGCATGATACAAAATGGTAGCCAAATTAAACAAAATTTTTGCGTGTTAAAAAGAAAAACACAAGTGCTTCTGACAAGGAACGTTTTAATCATTTTTGGCAAGGCGTCCGATGTTTGAACATATGGTTGATTGACAGGCAAATGATTTTGTTCCGAGAATTGTTTACTTTTTGAAAATTAATTGAGTAAAGTCCAAGAAAAAGTGAAGGCGAAAGCTTTCGAATATGAGTTATCTCTTAATCACATTTTTATTAAGCATACATTTTGTTTGTACTTTTTTTTTTATTTAAAGAGTTTCATTCATTAAAAATAACGATAACTCACCGCTGAGTTTATATTAATATGTGACTCAACTCTTATAAATTTTCAGCGTAATTTTTTGCGTCACTACCTTTAGCGAGGTAGTGTACATTGAGTACTATCAACTGATAACAGTTAATGAAAAAGAAAGTTCCGGAGTCGGCCAAATTGGAAACATTTCTGCTACTACCCTCAGCCCAAACAGTTGTGTTGCCTTGTTGATAAGAAGTCAAGAAAAGTAAAAATAATCAAACATTTTTGGAGAATATTTTGACAACGTTCTGGTAAGCTTGAGTTGGAAAGTTACTATGCAATGCATTGTGAAAGTATCGTGTGTTTTTTTCTTGAAATATCAGTGTACTAGAATTTGATAGCACCATGTGAAAAAAAGCCTTAAGTTGGTAACTAATTTGTTGCATTAACACTCCCACGGGAGAGCGACTTAAATCGCTTGAAATAGGCAGTACACAGTGACCAAAGTCGCGCCCAATTGTCTGTCAATCCGCGACTCAATGGAATGGTCAATTATGTGTAACCTTAGAATGTTTTCAGTTGTTTGGACCAAAATCAATTTGTCAATCAAATTGTGATCTTTCGAATGAAAAATACCGGACAATGCGGGGATTGGGCCGTAACTCTGCCAATATGGGAAACAAACTGCCTGGCTGAGATACTGGGCTATATATATGTATATATATAGAATAACATGTTTGCTAGGTTAACCAAATAAGTCGAAGAGTAACACACCCACACGGTTTCAGTATTGTATTTAATTTTGTTTAATTAAAAACAATTTACTATTTGGCGAGCAATTGCAGCGGCGCATTTGATTTGGGATGATTGAGCGTTTTATTTATGTAATGTCGGACAATATTAATGTGGGATTTTTACAATTTTTTATTTCTATTAATGCTATCTGATCTTTCCTCCATTCTATCAAATGTTGATAGGGATAATGTTGTCAAATATTTTTCAATGAATACAACATGCCTTCTTTTCTTCAAGTAATGGGTAGTAGTGCTAGCCAAAGTCAAACAATTTCTCTCGAAAAAACAATGTGGTTTTCTCTTAATCGTGTGACCTCTAAAGAAAAGTTTTTTTTTATTATAAATATGGGTATATTTCAAATTATTAAAAAGAAATTCTTCATTTGAGAACGCAAAATTTTTGTTTTAAGTTATTCGTTTTTGGGTAGATTCCTAACGATTTTCTTTCTACAAATATATTCGTTTCTTTTCAAAATTTTAAATCCAGTAGTATTTTTAGTTCTATGTTGAGAAAGTTCTCTTCGCTCAACAGTGTTGTATTAGCTCTTGACTGAAACGGTTCGTTATTTAAGCAACGAGAATCAACGAGAATATATTTACCTATTTTACATATTTTGTTTGATTATTTAAATCGAGTAAATAAATTAAATAATTTTTTTACTTTAAGTGCAAAATGTGTTAAAGGCTTGTTTATAATGTGTTCGTTACTTTTTTTCATCGAACTTTAAAATATATTATAAAGTGTTCAACAACGAAAATATTTAAGCACCCTAATCATTTGAAAGGCTTTGCGTACCTTGTATTGTTGGCCGGAGTTAAAGGCTAAACAAGGCATATTGTGACAATTTTATACGAATAAAGTTGGGCATGCACTCAGATCATAAAATCATATACTTCGGGTGTTTAGAGATAGCTTTAAGATGTTTTCACAAAAAATCGCTTATTAATGTATTTTCATTTCCCATAAAATTTTAAAAAAAAACCAAAATTTATTTTTCTTAAAAATAAATCAACATTTTTTCTGTTATTAATTTTTTCAGTGTTCTTCGTACCAGCTATAGAGTTTAAAACCATTTGAAAATGAAGTTTGATTCATATAAAAAAAGGATCGATAAAAAAAAAGTGGCCGAAAAAAGTTTTTGCAATATCGATTTGAAGAAAGAAGTAAATAAGCGGTTTTCCATACAAAAACGGCTTGCTCTTGAAAATTGGCTGGTCAACACATGCCGTTGCGCGCGTAGCGTCAGCCGACTGCAGCTGTCAATGAGGCACTTCTTGTCGTTTTGTATGGAAAACCGCTGTGCGCCCCTCTTCAAATCGATATTGCGAAAAACCTTTGGCCGGGCCACTTTTTTTTTTTTGGATCTTTTCCGTAATGAATCAAACTTCATTTTCAAATGGTTTTAAACTCTATAGCTGGTGAAGAACACTGAAAAAATAATAACTAAAAAAATGTTGATTTATTTTTAAGAAAAATAAATTTTAATTTTTTTTACATTTTTTTATGGGAAGCCATAATAATTCTTGAGCGATTAGTGAAAACATCATAAAGATATCTCTTACCGTTCCGAAGTTATGAATTAATGACTGAGTGCAACTTTTTCGAAAAAGTGTCAAAAATGCCATGTTTTGACCCCTATAACTCCGGTAAAACTCAAAATTTCGCAAAACCGTTCAAATGAAGTTCTTATATTTTCGTTGTGAACCGGAAAAGTAAAAAAGTTCGATGAAAATCGGACCTTCGGAACAGGGGTGGCCCACTTGGCAGATTTTGACTCTACTTTAAGTGCAAAATGAGTTAAAGCTTGTTTTTAATGTGTTCGTTACTTTTTAATTGCTTTAAAATATATGTACAAAGTGTTTAACATGTGCGAATTTTTAAGCCACCCCAATCATAATGGCTTTGTCTACCTTGTATCGTTGGCTGTGAGTTAGGCTAAACAAGCATATGGTAATAATTATATAATAACTAATACAATGTTGGGCATTGAAAATATATCATCAAACATATTACTGTGGGTGTTTATGTAGGTTTAATGGCACTACATTTCATACGTTTCAAAAAAAAATCTTATTAATGTCTTTTCATCTCTAAATTTGAATCAAAGAAACCAACTCAACGAGCTGCAGAATGGCGGCGGCGGAACTTGTCCTCTGCGCACTAATATGTGTTGCAGTTTCTGTAGGTAAGCAATGGTAGTGGAAATATATCTATATGGTTATGTAAAGTTTATCTCTAAAAAAATGTTTATTGGTAAATTGGTTAATAAAGAAATAAATAAAAAAAATTAAAATTCAAAATAAAATTCAACTTATAATTATCAAAACAAAACGGTTCTGGCTAACCAACATTTTAATTTAGAAAAAACATTTTAATTCACTACAGAAAAAAAAAAAAAAATATAAAAAACAAAAAAAAAAATTATTTAAAAATTTGTATTACGGTTAGTCAATAATCAAATATTAAATAATACAAAAATTCTCACCTAAAAATAGGTGCACACTTTTGGGCTGCTCAAGAATTTACAATTATTTTCAACGCCAATCCATTTTTTTTAATATTTATTTAAGTGTTTATTTACTTTACTCCACAGCTTTAAAAACCTGCCCAAGCCCCCCGGATATTATGAATGGTAGTTATTTCTTATATCCGAGTTCGCGGGACGGAGAAGACATAATGGCGGCCCAATATTTCTGCAGTTACAATTACATACTGGAGTCGGCCAACTTCGATGTCATGCTCTGCCAAAATGGAACATGGCAAGGTATTTTACCTCAATGCATTCCTCGGGACTATTCGAATTATGACGAAAATGCTAAAAGTAACGATTGGACCTTTGAAGAGGAGGAGGATAATGAGAAGCCAAAATGGAAATCGACATACCAAAATAAGGTATTAACCCCTGAAAATAGGTCTGTTGAGTCCCCAACATATTTATAAGGCGAATACCTTTTAGAATTGTCACTATGAAAACGGCGGTTGTTCCCATATATGCAACGGTACTACTAACAAATGCGAATGCTATCCGGGCTTTTCCTTAAATTCCACCGATTTGACCAGTTGTGAAGGTAGGTAATAATTTTAATATAATATAAATATAATGTAATAATATGGAAATATTATTTGCAGATATCGACGAATGCAAGGAATCGAATGGCGGCTGCTCTCACATTTGCTACAACCTTGATGGAGAACGCGTATGCGACTGTGAAGAGGGTTATCAAATAGATGTAGAAGATGGAACAACTTGTTTGGGTAAGGACTAAAAATATATGAGAGAAATTTGTTATTATTAGTTAAAAATTTGTATTAATCCCAATCAGACATTGATGAGTGCGCTGATCCCGAAATGTCTTGGGACTGCAAAAATGGCTGTGACAATCTGATTGGATCCTATAAATGTCGTCCGTCAACGGTGGGCAGAGTCGAGCCGACCGATGGCAACCGGAATTCTTCAGATGGGATATTATGCATGCCCGGCTTTCAGTTATCCGCGGATGGTAGCGAGTGTCAGGACATTAACGAGTGCGAATTGATAGATCAGGACCCGAATACCGGGCAAATAACACCCCGTTACTGTCAGCACAAGTGCGAGAATACCATAGGTTCCTACATTTGTCACTGCCCTGAGGGTTATCATCTACTCGAGGATAACCAGAGTTGCGCCTGGTCTCATGTCGAAATTCACCCGACAACAACTGCCCCAAGAACAATTCCCCACAACGACAACAACTGGCCCTTCTAAAATTGATAAACGATGCCAACATATGGATCCATTGAACCCAACGAAATACCGCTTCTGTCAGCAAAAATGTAAAAATTTGAAAGGCTCTTTTCGTTGTAGGTGCAAGAAAGGCTATACTCTGCGGCAGGATGATCAGAGTTGTGAGTTGAAAAAATGCAAGCCAGGCTTTAAAAGATCCGCCGATGGAGTCACGTGCCAGGTCATCAACGAACAATTTCTACCCACTAATACGAATAGTCCTCCTGCTGCAATTCAGCCAACGCCAACAACTGAAGAGCCATTACTACCCACTACTACGAATAGTCCTCCTGTTGCTATACAGTCAACCCCAACAAGCGATACTCCTTATAATCGTCCGCCGTACTGTGAGATCTTGCCGGACCCGCTCCATGGCAAGGCTAAATGTTATAGCTATGAACCAAATGGATTTCAGAAGAATTTGTGCCATATTATCTGCGATGTGGGCTATGTCTTAAGTGGTTCTCCTATTAGGACTTGTGATCACCCAGGAATTTGGAGTGGTTCAGAGTCAATTTGCGTGGGTAAGTAAATTATAGGTTTATGTTTGGTTTCAGTTTTTTATGGGATTTCGTAAGTTATGTTTTAAAATTTCTGTACCTTCTTAAAGATATTAAGGACTTACCCAGCCGATTTTACAACAAATACATTTTGCCAAATTGGAAGGATACCCTGACTATAAAGCTATCAGAATCTCAGGAGTACGGCCATTCTGTATCATCACAAACTAGCTATTCCTCAGACGGAAAAGTAAGTTAAATATATTGGAAAATAAATTCAAATAAATTACATATTCTATTAATACTTGAAAATAATCCTATGAATATTAACAACTATTTTATACTTTTTATTTTTATAGGTGCAAAATACAAATGCTCAGCGAAACCACAGAAATATTCCAAAGGATTTGTCACGGAATTCATCTATGAGGCAGAACAGTACATCCGTTGACAAGGTCGGGATACCTTTGTATTGAATGCTGAACCATTTGTAAGTCTGACTTCCCTCGAACTTCTCCACATCTCAGCCAGAGATTCGAGTGTAACAAGAGATTGCCTCTTAAGGTTTCGCCTTATTTATGCTCGATTAGTGAAATATCTATATCTTACGTATTTGTTTCTGATTTTGTAGGTCAACTAGGCATTTTGAAGAACGTCCACTCGCAATCGAATCTCCAGAAACACTTTCGCATCGAATCAGAAATTCTTAATTGGAGCATTGCTACTTAGGCACAGCTAAAATTTTTGAACTTAACATTTCCTTACTATTTAAAACACGAATCGATATATTTTTAGCAAATTGAAATAAATGGTTTTCAAATCTTTATAACTATATTTAAAGTATTTGTAGATAGTTAAAGAAGATTTTGAGGCACAAAACTATCATAAATATATTAATTAAACTAAAACACATTACAATTTTAGTTATTGGTATTTTTACTGTAATTAACTTTAAAAATAGCAAAAGAAAAACCAAAATTAAAATGTGTTCTGACATTTACGCAGCAACTGGCATGGCAGAACGCCGAGTTATTTTGTAATGCTTAAACTTTTGTAAACTTTTGTAATATTACATCAGCTAAAAATTTCGTGTTTATCAGTTAGCCAATTGAACCCTCAACTTGAAAGTGTAAACAAGAAACAACTGAAGCATTTCCAAAGAAAAATGAACCGACTTCAGCTGAGTCATTACAAATGGGTTCCACAAATTAAAGCGGGGTCTGGTTTGAACAAACTATTGACCAATTTTTTATAAGTGATTTAAGAGCAGCTTAGGATAATAAATTCAACAGATTTGTAAGAAAAAAATCAGGTGAGTGAACTGATCGAAATAATTGATTCCAATCAAACTGATGTGGATCCTAAGTATAAAACAACAAAGCAGCGCGTGCCAGGCCCACTTGGAGCTATTCACTACTAAAATAATTGCCCTGAAATGCCGTTGAACTCGTTTGGTTAGAACCTGTCATTAGAAAAAACATTTTAGATTATACTGTTTTATTTTTTGCAAAAACAAAGAAATCTAAAACTAGCTGAAATAATGTTTTGTTAATATGGACCCCAGCAGAGGCACGAACATGGGCTGATAATACTTTGGCAATACAGTGGTACCTCCCAAAAGTAAAGGTAACTACCAATTTCCTTCAACACATTATTATACAAATATCTTTAAACATAAAAGTATCTGGCGAAACTGGAAGTTTTTATATAACTTTTAGAATATTTTTAGTTGAGTTTATTCAAACCGTAGAAATATATCTAATTAAAAACAGGTTTCAATCTTAATCGACTAAAATAATAGTTTCGTTTTAGGAATTTCCAATTACAGAAGACTGACTGTATTTATGCTTAAAAATTTAGATTTGATCGTCTAGCCGAACGGCGGCTTCTGTAATGAGATGGAATGAGATTTTAGGCCCATAAAGACGGGGCACTGATAACCCCACAGACGCAGAGTTAGTGCTGCGATTGGACCGCATGTGGATGCCGTTCCAAGATCATTCACTCGCCCGATTGCCCGCAATATTATTTGTATTATTTACTGGTTTCAGATCGGATTGCTTTTCGTTTTCGTTTTGGCTCTGCTGTGGGGCCTAGCGAAAAGTCTATTTAAGCGCGTGATTAACTGAGAAATTAAATCAGTTTTAAATCGTGTGCTGAGCGGATCGTTCGCCTTCGGTTTGTTGTTTTAGTGAAGATACTAGAGAATCTTGTGAGAATGTACCAGCGGCAGGTCTCCTTTGATAAGGTTTGTTGGGTCAACAAGTCCTCTGTGCACATCGTATAGAAAGTGAACCGTAAAATAGCTATTAAATTAAAAACAATAACAAGTTTATTAATCTGCGCTCTCATCATGAACTTTTTCCAACCTTGAAAAAGGAAAAACACAGAAATATATTAGTACCTATACATTTATAAATTCAAATGAGAATGCGGATCTACAATGACTTGGAATTGGGTTACTCCGTAATAGTTCTGAACAAAGAAATACAGAGTGTGTTTTTCTGGAACTTTTATTTTGGTAACAAAACAAAAACAATAGTTTTTTATAGCAAGAGCTTGAGAATTAAATCAGTATATTTCTTTATTTATGAGAAACTAGAAATGAAACCTGTATTAAGAAATCGGACGTAAAGTTTTGTTAGAGTAACGGCGTATTTTTATTTCCAAGACTGTCGAAATATTTACCAAGATAAATATCAAAACTATTTAAACAAAAAACATTTTAAGTTCTTTTAAATTATTTGCGAATTATTTGTTTGTAATTAGTATCTTAAAACTGTATACCTTTGAAAATATTTAAATACATTTTGGAATAACCATTAGACAATTCTTTCAATTTGAAGAATATTTTCTATTTTCTATTCTATTTTCTATTCGAAAAATCATATTTTAAGTAGCCTTTGATGTTTTCAAGATCTTGACAAGTTAACCACTTTAGTGACCTTCTCACAGACACAGCACACCAAGTTCTAGGTCGGATCCTTGGCAATATGCGCTGATTGCCATTGCGGTCAGACCTAAACCTTCCACTTGCAAAAAATACAATCTCAATGATGTAAATCTTGTGCAAGTACTACAATTACAGTTCGTTGTCACATATAGGGCTTCGGTTAAATAATTAAGCGATTCTGGCCTTAGGTAATTAATAGTCGTATTAGATAGATTTTTGTGGCGCACAAGATTATCAGTGGTTGTTATAGACTTGGGTTGAACGCAGGTCACTCAGTGTCAATCGCTTTAATTTCCGATGAGCTAGTTGAACCCAGGTCACATAGTGCTAATCTCTAAAAATCCGCTGACTCCGCTAATGCAATTTCCAAACGATTAAAAAATAAATAATTTTAAAATCAATTTCACATTTATAGCCAACGCGCGTTGAGGATTCGGCTTATATAGTCGAGGGTGTGGACATTCAGGAGGCCAGGAACACCTGTCTGCTGTTCTCGCCCAAGGATTCCTCGCTGTCCAGCGGCGCCTTGGCTAATATCTTGGCCATTTTCAAGAAGCACGACATCAACCTGGTGCACATTGAGTCGCGATCCTCGCTGCGTGTCCCCGGCTATGAGTTCTTCGTGGAGGCCGATGGCAAATCGGGAGCTTTGGGCAGAGCCATCGAGGATGTGAAGGAGCAGTGCAGCTACTTCAACATCATTTCGCGTGACTACAAGGATAATGCCACGGCGGTGCCCTGGTTCCCTCGGCGTATCCGCGACCTGGATCGTTTTGCCAATCAGATTCTGAGCTATGGCTCTGAATTGGACTCCGATCATCCTGGGTTTACCGATCCGGAATACCGCAAGCGTCGCAAGTACTTTGCCGACATCGCTTATAACTACAAGCACGGCGAGCCCCTGCCCCATGTGGATTATACCAAGGAGGAGATCGAGACATGGGGCATTATCTTCAGGAATCTGACGAAGCTCTACAAGACCCACGCCTGCCGGGAGTACAATCACGTCTTTCCCCTGCTGGTGGATAACTGTGGCTTCCGGGAGGATAATATTCCCCAGCTGGAGGATGTCTCGAACTTTTTGAGGGGTGCGTTTCTGGGATAGTCAACGAATAGGTTTACTTACATTTCTTGATTGCAGATTGTACTGGCTTCACTCTGCGTCCCGTGGCAGGACTACTCAGTTCTCGGGATTTCCTGGCTGGCCTTGCCTTCCGTGTCTTCCACTCCACTCAGTACATCCGGCACCCCAGCAAGCCCATGTACACACCGGAACCGGATGTCTGCCACGAGCTGATGGGCCACGTTCCACTCTTTGCGGATCCAGCCTTTGCCCAGTTCAGCCAGGAGATTGGCCTGGCCTCCCTGGGAGCACCCGATGATTATATCGAGAAACTGTCCACAGTAAGATACTGTTTTTCCTTAAAAAAATGAGTGTTCAATCTGTGATCTCTTCCAGATCTTCTGGTTCACCGTTGAGTACGGTCTGTGCCGCCAGGAGGGCGAGCTAAAGGCCTACGGAGCTGGCCTGCTGTCCTCCTACGGAGAACTCGAATATTGCCTCACCGATAAGCCCCAGCTGAAGGACTTTGAGCCGGAGGTCACTGGCATCACCAAGTATCCCATCACGCAGTTCCAGCCCCTCTACTACGTGGCCGATAGCTTTGAAACTGCCAAGGAGAAGACCATGTAAGAAACTGAGTTTAAACTTTGCTAAAAAGACCACTAAAATATCAAACTACTTTTTAGTAAATTTGCCAACTCTATTCCGCGTCCCTTCGGTGTTCGCTATAATGCCTACACCCAGAGTGTTGAGGTCCTCGACTCCAAGCCACAGATCTCGAATCTGATGGACAACATCAACTCCGAGTTCCAGATTCTCCAGAATGCCATTACCAAGCTGCGCGTTTGAGTTTTTATTACTCCCCCTCTTTATATATTATTAAGATCGAATTGAATAATAAATACCATCAAAATTAAAGTTTTTTTTGTTTGCTTTATTACAACTCGGATTTTCTTTCGATTTGATTAGCTTGTTCAGTTTGTCTTTTGGGGAGCTTGTTTTGAAAAACATAAAAACATTTAGTTATGTACAAAATAGTTCTACAGTATCATCATCTTCGAACGCGTATTTACAGGCTTAAGCAAGTTCTCCCGACTTGTCCTATAGGTATGTACAGAGCTTAAACACCGAGTTAACTAGAGTTATTAAGGTAGTTGTAGTTGAGTTTAAGATAGTTTGTTTCCACATTTACGAGTTCTAAGTTTAAAGCGTTTGGCTCTTTATCAGCTGAGGATCGAAGCATATTCGAACGAACTTTTCCAACAGCGAAATGTTAATACGGGGAAAAGCGGGAATAACGATTGAACTAAAGGTATTTCGACTGTCGGAAAAGATCGGGCCTGAAGATAACTTATGGGAATATGTTCACAGCAAAATAAATGTCAGTTGCAATCTCAACCTGAGTTTCGAATTATACCTATATACGTAATCTATTAACACTAACTCGTATGATAAATATCTTGTTTGACCTCGATGGCGAAGCCCAGTCTTGGAAATAATATGGAATTGGATTAGCTTAGCTTCTCGGTACACTTTTAAATACGAATAACTTAGGATTAGGCTTTAAGGTTCGATTACGTATCAGAGATCCCTGTTTGCGCCTCGATGGCACTTACTGGATAAGGCTAACTTATGGAAACGATGGGCTCTTGCTATGGACTAATCAACTAATCGTAGTGCTAATGTTTAAAACCTACTTACAGCGGAATATTTTGAGAACTTTGCTACACCTAGGGTTATATACAACACACACGAATCGGGGGTAGGACAATACTCAGTCTGTTGAGATCTACAACTAGCTCTGGAGGTTCGATAAAGAGAGCCAGAGGCCAAACTTGATAATACACGGATATAGGGATTCTATCGCTAGACGGAGTTATATACATTGGGGGTCTGCTATTGACTACTGCCCGGGGCTGTGTGAGGCGAGTTGAATAGATTCTGCGATTGCTCTTGGGACATCTGGTAGGGCAATATTTCCAGATCGTTGGGCAACTGATTTTGGTTCTGATTCTGGCTGTTGTTGAGAAAGGGATTCGAACTGAAGAAGTTGTTTGACTGCTGTTGATGCTGCTGCAGGAGTTGCTGCTGCTGCTGTTGCTGCTGCTGTTGCTGCTGCTGCTGCTGATGTTGCTGCTGCAACTGATTGCTGCTGCTGGAGGTATGCATCATCTTGTTGTCCTCGCTCTGCGTCTCGGAACCATCGTCACTGATGCCCATGTGAAAGTTGATCGAGGGACTCGATTCGGTGGCCATTTGCATGTAGGACAACAGCGAGTCCTCGTTGTTGTTTTGCGGGGGATTCGAGCTGCGGTTGTTGTTGCTCTGGCTGCCATTGTTCATTCCCCCGCCATTGTAGCTCTGATTGTTGTTGTTGTTGCTGGAGCTGAAGGGGTTGATGGTGGACTGCGAGCCCAGAGATTGCAGGGGCGAAAGATTGAGAAAGGCGTCTATATCATCGATATCCTCGCGCAGCAGAATATCGTTTTGCTGCTGCAGTTGCAACTGTTGCTGCTGCTGCTGTTGTTGCTGCTGCTGGTGCTGTTGCTGCTGCTGCTGTTGGTTGAGCTGCTGCAGTTGCGTGTGATTCTGATGTTGCTGCTGCAGGTTGTGTTGGTGCTGCGTGTGCAGGTTCTGCTGCTGTTGCATCATCATCTGCTGATCCTGCTGGTTCAGCATCTGCTCCGAGTTCAAAGCGAAGCCATACTGATTGAACTGCGGCTGGACGGCATTGCTGCCGGTGAAGTTCAGTCCCCGCTGGCCACCAGCTCCCACGCCCACTCCCACGCCCACTGCCATGTTCCCCACCGCCGCAGCTGCCATGTTGCCAGTGGCCAGGCCCATCGACATCATGGGCTGCAGGTAGGTGTAGCGGGAGAGGAGCAGCTGCTCCGAGACGATCCTCAGCTCGTTCTGCTGCTGCAGGATCAGCTTCTGCAGCTCGTCGTGCTTCCGCTGCAGCTGATCCTGCAGCTGGCTCTGCGTGGGCGTCATCACCACGGTATCGGGCAGGAGGTCCGGCTGGGCCTGCACCGGAATGGGCGACAGGACGGGCGCCACCGGAAAGGGGGCGATCACAGGTTGCATTGGTATGGCGGTGAGATATTGCGGCGGCTCCAGGAAGGTGGGCGCCACCAGCTGGGGACTAGCCAGCGGATAGGCGGGCTGCGGAAACTGGCACGCATTTCCCGCCATTATTTGCGTGGGCGCCATCGGCAGCAGGGGCACCAGCTTCGGAGTGCCCACCGAATGCTGCAGTTGCTGTTGCAGCTGCAGATGCTGCTGATGTTGCTGCTGTTGCTGCTGCTGCTGACTCTGGTGCTGCTGGTTCTGATGCTGTTGCTGCTGCAGGTGATGGTGCGACTGACTGTGGTGATGCTCTCGATGGTGGTCCCGGTGGTGCGATCGCTGTCGTTGGCTTTGCTGAGGAAATTACAGGACGTTAGTTAGGGTGATTGTTTTCGGGAAATCACTGTGTGATCGAAAGAGTAAAACGAACAACTAAAAAATTAGTATTTGCGTTCTAAGTAAAAATAAAAAAAATTAAATTGGTAAAATGGACAATTTTTGTGGTTGGGGACTCCTTGAAAAATATATTGGTTAATTTGTGTTTTTTTGTGTTTTCCTACCAAAAAAAAAAACACAAATTAACCAATAAATATTTTTACCTACTAGGTAAATATAATGGTTCAAGAACATCAAAAATAATTATTCCTTTCCGATAAAATGTTGATTTTAATAATTTTCAAACTAAATCAAATAAATTTAGTTTTATTTATAGGAAATATATTTATAGAATGTTAAAAATTCTCTTGAAATTTTAGGATTTATAATGAGGTGCTGCTATAAGTATTTACCCTTTCGATCTCAACCTTTCTATTATATCTTTTCTATACCCACCGAACTGACGTGCGTCATCATGGACTGTCGACTGGTGACCGAATCCGCCGAAATGGACGTGGAATCCGAGTCATTTCCCCGATTATTGTAGAAGTAGCACTTTCGCTTGGCCTTTGGCGAAATGCCCGTGGAGCTGATGTTTCCGTAGCTCGAGGCGGGTCGCGAAGTCTTCAGGGGATTCAGTTGGCAGGATCCAGAGGGTTGGGCAGCCGATGCGGACCACATGGGTGAAGAGTCGACGGCGGGTGAAGTGGCGGTCGTTTCATTGCCCAAATTGGCCAGGCTATTTCCTAGCAAAGTGCTATCCAGATTCTGGCTACTCAGCTCGAAATCCCTCAGCGTTGTGGTGGCCGAGGCGGATTTGCTGCTGTTGGCCGTGGAGGCCAAGACCTTGCTGCTGCTCCCATTGTTGTTACTGCTGCTATTTCTCTCACTCTTTTCACCCTCCTTGCGACTCTCCTTGAGGACCTCCGCATAGCTGACCACCTTGTGGGTGCAGACCACGTAGTCCGGCTTGGAGTTGAACTGGTGGTAGCTCACATAGTAGTCCGTTTGCAGCCAGATCCACTGTTGGCCCTTGGTGAGGAATCGGTAATAGCAGGATTTTCCCTCGCCCGTCTGTCTTACTAAAATGGGGAATATAAGTATAAAATACCATATAGTATAGTATCAGGAACCCACGTTCTTCATGACACGCCACAATGCTATCCAGATCGTCGAAATGGTAGTAATCATAACCCGAAGTGCCCAGAACCTCGAAGGGCATGTAACCAATGATCGGAGGCGCCCGGTGGTCCAGGAACAGAAACTTCCACTCCATGCTGTGCTTAGAGGTGAATTCGTTGCTGGTGGGATCGATGATGCTCATTTCCCGGATCAACTGGGGATTCTGGACGCGTCCGGTGCCCACGAAAACCAGCTTTTTGTCCACCTCGGCACTGGGATTCTGCTGAAAGATGCGGGGCAGCACTGCCGGCTGTCCGTTGGAGCCATTCGAAACCTCCGAACTGGAGGCCGTCGAAGTATTGGTATCGTTACCTAAGGGATAAGCATCAGTGGAGGTGACCGAAACTCTCAGCACGGCTACCTACGAAAGTAACCCACAAATTTGACCAGCTCGTAGGCATTCGCATCCACCTTCTCCATTCCGCCGCGTCTCAGATGGGTGTAGAAAGTGATCTGGTTGGTGGAACTGATGTCCGTCTGCCGGGGCTCGATCACCGGCGTGGGATTCATGAAGATATTCAGCAGCGCCTCGTGGTCCATCTCGTAGGCCAAGTCGTAGATGGTCATGTTGTACAGATCTTGCTGGAAGACAAGTTTCAATATAGGTTATATATTAATTAACTTGGAATATTACCCATAAATGTTTAGTAACTCTCCCTGCATTTGAACATTACTTATTCCTAATAATTATGTAGTAATTTCTTTCCTAACTCTTTGCTCGAATAACATTTACTGATTAATTTCCAAAAATTCTTTAAACAAAGATCATAAAATAACAAAATATGAAACACTCTATAAACCGAATATTCAAACAGTGCGTTTCAAAATAACTAACAATTTCGAGTAGTTTTTAACTAGTTTCTTTTGGGATTTGGGCTGTCCACCTTGTCGGCGTAAATAATCTTCATTATCTTATCTGATATTGGCCGTAATCTCGGGTCAGCCGCTTTGCCTTTCAGACACACATTTTTAATGTCTCTCAGCTTTGAAAAGTAGAAATCTCGTTCCTTCTCCATAATCGGAATATATTCACAATACTCCTGCAGTTGCTTGGAAAGTGCCGAAAATTGTTTTTTAAGTGATTCATTTTCTTGCTTTACATTGGCCTTCTCTTTGGCTGATTTAGTGGTGGCCTTTTCCGAAGTTTCACTTCGAGGCGTGGAATTGGGCGACTGTTTTTGATGCTTGGGGTTTATAGGACCCGAACCGAAACCCATAATAACGCCATTTCTGGCAGTTAGGGGATCATATGCCCTGCCATTATAGTTGGCCTCGAAGAACTTGCGAAACCACTGGAGGAACTCCAGGTTGTCTTGAAAGCGACCCTTGATCAGCTTGTCGATGGGAATGATCTTATCGACGGACACCTTATTGAAACTTGCCTGCAGAAGCTTGAAGTTGTGCAAGTGCTCGTGCTCTAAATTTGTGCGGAACTTGATTCGTTTCATAGGAACCGAATTGGGAAATATCATGTCCATGAACTGACAATAAGCCGCGCCGGTACACAACTCCTCGACCTTGGAGAACTGAGCCTGCAGCATCTGGTTGACCCAGGATAGCATTTCAATTCGCGAAGGATTGTCCGAGGTCATGTTGGTGGAATACACATTCACAGCCATTTTAAATTTGGTAGACATCACTTAGAAAATAAATTTTTGGTGTATTACAACTCTGACTTGTTTACGACTCATGTAAATGATGTTCAAACTTGTTAATCGAATTAATCCTCTCGGCATGCTATAAAAATCTTTTTTGAAACCCCTACTTATTGCATAATATCGAAATAGAATCGTGCAATATGACTTAATTTAGAGCTAACTCACCGGCAGGTAGCCCAGCTGGGAGGTAATACTTTCCGAGGCGTAGAATATGGAGCCCATGCTGCTAAAGACCATCATGAATCCATCCAAAGACTCCAGCATCAAATGGGTGTACTCATCGTTGCTCAGGAACGTGGGCTTCCAGTCTTGTTGGATCTCGAAAACCTTCGAGCGATCGGTGGCCTCTGATGTGATACGTTTTGAGTTGTAAATGCTAAAATCTAAAGTTCAGACGGCCTACCATTATGATTCTTCAGGAAGGCTATCGTGGACTTCAGAACCGTGGACTTGTCCATCTTTCTGCTGGACGTGGATATCAGGGCGCTGAGATCGTTGACCAGCGAGTTGAACTGATCCCGTCGCTTCTTCTCGCTGAGATTGCGCGACTTTCTGCAAAGGAAGCTACGAGTTAAAAAATAATCAATAGGCTGCATTTACGGTTAGCAACGTCAAGCGATTTCATAATAAATGGGATTTCCCACCCCCAGGTGAGTCAGATTGTGACCCACGTGTGCCCGTTCTATTGAGGCATTGTCTGGCGCTGATTAGCCACATATGCCCATATGCTATCACCATCCCGGATTTTCCCAAGGATCCCGAGGGTTGTGTGCCCTTTGTCACTTTCCATTTTCTACGCTGGAGTTCACTTTTTCTGCCCTGCCATTGACATTTGCATGTCAGCAACTGTTTGATGAGCGCAGTTTCGGGATTAGTGTTATTGCCAGTTTATTTGAGTTTTATATGATTATAGAAAACCAGGTACCGTAAGTTTAAACAGTACACCCAGAAAAATGATGGACAACATTTTAGGTCATGCATAGCCTAAAACATTTTAAATGGACTAAAAGTTCCTTTTTAGGTCATGTACTGCCTAAAAATTTAAATTTTTGGTATATTTGCCCTACTATTTAGGTCCCGTATAGCCTAATATTTTAGGTCAGCGTGGGCCTTAAAATTAATGCCTTTTACCTAAATAAATTTGCACGGAACTCTGATACCGTTTTGGCGACGCTATAATTCCCAACCAGTTATAGCGCGGCTTGCATGGTAACCCACTTCGATCGTTGAATAAGACAGCGATTTCACTGCTGAACTGTGAAGCCTCCTCGCTCCTTTTTGTGTGTTGGCATAATGACGACTTCTTGAAGACTATGCCCGACATTGACCTCGAGTTAGCTATAAACTTTTCTGTATTTACTTTATAATATTATAAATTTTTCAGTACATATTTTTAGGCCAAAGAAGGCCTAAAATTTTGGATAGGGGTTTTCTCATATTTTTAGGCAGCCAATTACCTAAAATCTAGGCCAAAAATTACCCCCATTTTAGGCCTTTAATGGCCTAACATTTTAGGTCATGGTATCCTAAATTTTAGGCCATTCAAGGACTTAGCTCCAGTTTTAGGCCAATTTTACCTAAATTCTAGGCCATTTTTTGACATTTTAGGTCATTTTTTTTTCTGGGTGTATGTTTAGGAATAAGTGAAGGGCAATGAATTGAAAGTTTGAAGTCAAGGGGGTGACTCTTAGATATTACTCTATTTTACTCTTTTTTTTCCAATAGATTTTAAAATACAAACTACTAACTATTTTTCATTCATTTTTATACCCTTGCAGAGGGTATTATGATTTCAGTCAGAAGTTTGCAACGCAGTGAAGGAGACGTTTCCGACCCCATAAAGTATATATATTCTTGATCAGCATCACTAGACGAGTCGATCTAGCCATGTCCGTCTGTCCGTCTGTCCGTCTGTCCGTCTGTCTGTTTCTACGCAAACTAGTCTCTCAGTTTTTGAGCTATCGGGATGAAACTTTCCCAAAAGTCTTTATTCTATTGCAGGTAGTATATATGTCGGAACCGACCGGATCGGACAACTATATCTTATAGCTGCCATAGGAACGATCGGAAAATTAATGGAAAAGTAATAGGAAATAAATTCTAGCTTCCTTGGTTTTTATTGTATTATCTTCTACTCTAGGACATGACTCTTTTTAAATATTTCCGAATTTCAATTTTAATTTAATTAAAATCGGACGACTATATCATATAGCTGCCATAGGAACGATCGGAAAATTAATGAGATTAATGAAATTAATTGAACATTTTTGCGATTTGTTAATTAAAAGGAATGATCTGCAAGGGTATTTAAGCTTCGGCTGGCCGAAGCTAGCTTCCTTTCTTGTTTAATTTTGTGTTTAATTTTAGAAGAAAAATCAAAGGCTTAAGAAGCCATACATTTTTAGACCAATTACTTTAACAAATATTTTTTTATAAATTGTTAAAGGATTGTTAGGAATTGAAGAAAATGCAATGAAAATTGTTTTTTAACAGATTATCTTAACATTTTGCAACCATCTTTAAACTACGCTGAACTCTTTTATTTGAATTACAAAATATCTCAAGAAAAGCTGAATTCTTTTACTTAAAACGGTACTTTATTTTTGGACAAACTAATATGAATTCTAGTTATTAAAGAGATATTATAAAATAAATCAACGGCTTACGAATACTCCGACTGATTGCCTCATAAGGAGGTTTACTACGATGCCTTAAAAAAAATAAAATTTAAATTACTAAGAAATCATTACGGTAAAGTCTTTGGGTTCATCACGCCGTGTAAAAAAAGACTTTGTCCAAATTGGTTATTAAAGCCAGCTTCCACTCATAAAGCACACTTTCTCCCCATTGCGGATATTCGATAACTAATCTCTGGTATGTGTAATTATGAGACAATCACGAAGATATCTTTTTGACCATTGAGCAACATAATCAGAAGGAAAGATAAAATTAAGAATTACACCAGCTAATCGAATTTGTACTGGAATTACAATTCATTGAAGTTGGCCGCAGGGAAAACGTATGAAAGAATTGAATTACGACGACTCGGTTTTCATTGATTGATTTAGTGGGTGTGAATCAGCTAAATGGTCTGGGGCTACCTGGGATTTTATGACGACAGCGGTTTCTTAATACCGTTATTCATAAGAAAAATAACAATCAAAGGGGGGACATTCCACTTTCACCCTGTGGAAAATTTATCAAAAACGCCATATACACATCTTTTCTCTTACTTCTTGTCATCTGTCACTTGCAGTTTGTCCACGGGAATTTGTGCTATCTATTTATGAATAGCAGCGGATATATGAGTATGGGTGCTTAATGTGTAGTCAATTTACCTTTTCGTATCATCCTTGTCATCGCTCTCGTCGTCCATTTTCGGGTCTATCGGATAATCCACAGCGAACCGCACACAATTTTTAAACTAAGCGAAGAATGTGCAAAACTTTCCACTTCTTTTGAAGACTTGCTCACAAATGCCACAGATTATTTTCACGCTCACATAATTTTGTTCATATGTGCTTTGGTTTTCGGCATAAAGTTCAGGTAATGTTCACGCAACAATTGATTTCCATATGCTCAATATGCCACATTTTGAATGACTGCAATTGGTTGTGGAAATTGAATTGAAATTAAATTTTAATTATTTAAATATTTCCCGTCGCGGTTTTACAACTTGATTAATATTGCCGCACGCCGCGCTCTGTCAGCAACAAGTGCAGTTGTGGTTCTGTTTCGGCTTCGCCAACTGCCAGCATCCTTTTCGAATCGAATCGGCTCTGTTCTGGTTCAGGTCAGGTTATGTAATGGAATAGCTGCGCCTGCGCAGGCTCCCCAACTGGAGGCCCCGTGGCCAATTTGCCAGTTGGCCGTGCCAATCAATGTTGCACATTTGCAACCCCTGAAATGTATGCTACGCTATTTTGTCATGTTACAAAATGCGTTCAGCGAATGCCATAACAACCACTTGGTGGTTGGAGTGAGTGGGTGGTTGGGTGAGTGGGGTGGCTTGGCTGGATGGTTGGTAGTGTGAGTGGGGCAGCTGCTAACCAATTGCCTGGCTGCAGCCGGAATTTGGCTGCGGATGCTGCCCCTTTTTCCCAGCTATAAATAATCTGCCACACACGCTACGATTGCATAATGCTCTCTTGCCACTTGACTCTCCATCGAATTCACCTTATTCTAATACTTCTCAATCATTTCCGTGCACCTTAAGTAATTTTCCTTGCCACCCGCAAAATTATTCCCTGTTAATTGACGGCAAAGCATTTGGGGGGCTTCGGCGAAAAGCAATTTCTTGCCAAACAAAAACTTGAAAAGTTTTCAGCAAATGTCAATGGTTTTGCAAGCCTGTTAAATGCATTCGACCCCATGGAATGGGCTAAAAACTTGTTTCCCGGAAAGCCAGTGACGTTGGCGCCGAACTGAACCCATTTAAAGCTGGTACATTCGGACGGAAAATCAGTGTTTAATTAAAATGTGCAAAGCAGCTTAAAATTACACAGCTTTACATCTGCCAGTTGGCAGTTGTAATTAATCCGTTTAGCTCCGTTTGACCAAGGACCCCAAGCGGAGCTCATAATTTCCCACATGTATACTCTTTGGTGGGCATTTTAAATACACATCAAAGGCGGAAGACTGAAAGTTCTTTGGCCAAGTGTGGCTGGTTAACCGTAAGTAGCCGTTGGCCCAAACCCAGACTTGAAATGCTGCCAGATAATTGGCAGTGACTCGCTTAATGGATCGTGTTGCAATTAGTGCGGTCGGTTTGGTTTGTCACTGAGTGAAAAAAACAGCACAGACAAGGGTTAAGATGGAGACAAACAGAGAGAGAGTGTCAGATATTATTATTGAATGGGTTAGCTTTACCCCAGGGAATGCGGTCCAATTACAACCCTGCTGTCTCAATTATAAACTCTCACATTATTGGGTCAAAGACAACAAACTTTAAAATGTTTTAAGAAATAAACTACCATTCTATTATAACTTGAACAAAAGCTCTTTGACTTCAAGATGCAATACCTACTATTAATCACTTTCTAAAATGAAATCTCAATTAATCTCAATCCAAGTCGAGTAGTAATTAAGGTATTTAAATTTAATTTAATTAAATTTACTTGTAAAGAAATTGTACTCTGTATTTTTATTTTGTAATATTTACTTATAAGCCCCGAAGACGCTTCTTAAAGTTAGAAAACTTAAATGCTTTTAAAATCTCAGAATACTTCCCTATTTGATTATTTTTCCTTGAGGAATAATATATGTTTAAACTATATAAAAATAACAAAATAAAATAAAATAAAAAAATAATAATACATTTTCTCAATAGTTTAGATTTTGAACCTGAATTCTGAAAGTATAATGATATAGAAATCTAAATGAACAAATAAAATCCGCCTATAATTCTCCTTAGATTTAACAATTACTTTTTAGCCTTCACCCCGGCGAATTGAACTGCATTAAGCAAATAGAAGAGAATCATAAAATGATATAAATCATCTACGGCAAACCCATCATCTATTACAGATAGAAGCTGACATGTTAGGCATTTGGCATTGACAACATTGTCGTTGATATGTGTTTTATGGCGGGCTTGTATTTTTTCGCTATGCGGAAGCCAGTTGGTGGAAAAAAGCATACTATACGGAATAGAGGAAAGCACAGAAAGCCGGTTGGAGTGGCAGTGGCAGGTTTACTCAACCCAGGAGAAGATCGTTGACTGACCTACTCACGAGCGTCGGGAGATATGGGGGCTATATCTCTACCCCTCTCTTTCGAACGTAGTCGCCCCGTCTCGCTCACTTGCACTCTCTACCGATTCCTGTCTCGCTCTGGCCCATTGCAAAGGGGGAACTAACGTCATTTGATTGCATTTGTAAAGCTTCGCTCAGTTACAGAAATTATCACATACTACCGATGTGTGGGTTCACTATATATATATTCCCCATTTGTGTCTCTCTCGCTCTTGATTTCTTTGTCAGTGAACTTGAGCTTTTGCTTGGCAATGCTAATTGCATTGCGATTACAGCATAGTGTCCGTGTGTGGGTGATAATACCCAATACTCATACGACCCGTTGTGCAGCTTTTTTTCTCACCGTTTTTCCCTCCTATTTCCCTTTCCGCAATACTTGTAATACCTTTCGTCTCACTCTTGCGTTTGTTGTTTTAAACTTGACTTAATTAAATTTTTCACTAGTATTTTATTTTTATCTTTTGCCGTTCATTGATTTATTTCTGTTGCGTTCGTTCCCCCTAATTTCACTTAAAAGCGACCTAAGTATAGTTTATTTGTAAGCCAATATCATGATTTATAGGGTTAAAGGCCTCTAGTGTATTTAACCGGTTTTCCACCAAAGAGTTGTAATTTTTTGGATTGAATGTATTTACTAAACGGATCTTGGATATGCCTTTTCCTAAACAGTTAACAATCTAATAATAAATCAACAGATGTGATGAGCACTTAATCATTAGCAGCCCGCCTGCTCAATATCATCAGTTCATCATCACATCATCGCGTCTTGATCATGATTTAGTTAGTTCAATTAAAGCTGGGAATCTCTGACGAAATACTCTAAAATTGGAAAGGCTTTACTGAGGTGGAATAATGGGGTATGCTAAGAGATTTACAAACTACACAACTTCGATGTAATTTAAGAGGAATTTTAAGTTCCAAGGGAAATTGGCAAGTGGAA